GAATTATGCAAATTATATACTGAAATATTATACTGCTATAAATAGACAAAACCTCAAATGATAGGCAACAAAAACCAGTTTCAAAAGAAGAAAGAAGATAGATGCAAAATGATGCATATTGTCTACCCCAGTTATATAATATTTCAAAATAAGCCATGGGTCTTAATATGAGAGCGGGTAGTTATCCTTGGAGAGGGTGCTATAGGAGACATGCAGGTTCTTCTGGGATTTTGGGGTTTTTTTCTTCCACAACCCAGTGATACTGGTGCAGATATTTCTCAATTACTCTTCTCTCATTGCTGGGACAAAATATCCAACACCCCAAATTAAGGAAAGAAATGCTTATTTAGCTCACAGTTAGTGGATGTTTCAGTCCATACTCAGCTGGCTCCAAGGGCAGAGTGGCACATGGAAGAGGGCAGCTGTTCATGGCAGCAGCAAAAAGCAGGAAAGCAAAGAGCAAAGGGAGAGGCAACAGCTCCCAGCTGCTAGCCAGCCTCTCCCCCCGCTTACATTGCAGTGCAGATTACCCACTCCAAGGCCAGGGTGTAACACTTACTCCTGCAATCCCAGCACTGGATCAAGAATCAATCACAGACTCCAGCAACTGCCCCATAACTATATGAGGCTTTGGGTGGACACCTATACACAAACCATAAGAAGGTGTATTTACTTTGTGATAATAATGTTCACGTGTGTGTGTGTGTGTGTGTGTGTGTGTGTGTGTGTGTGTGTACATGTTATTCAAAATCTGAACCAGTTACCTCCAAAGTCACTGCTAACACTCTGGTCTGAACCACTATCAATATCATCTTTTTCATGAGATTTATGGGAATCTTTCATTTTTCTCTCTGTTTTTACTCTTGATCTTTTTAATTGTAGTGTCCACAGTTGCCAGAATATTCTCTTTCAAATGAAGTCAAACTTCTGCAATGCCTCCACACTTCACTCAGAACAATAGCCAACACCTACAACTATCTATAAAAGCTTAAATGTTTGATCCTCAGTTACCTGTGTGTACTTCTTTACCACTCTCCTTGTGTTGTGGGGTTTAGTTGTAAAATGTTCTCCCCAAGCCTCAACTGTTCAGATGTGGGGCCTTTTAAGGTTCAATAGAGAAATAAGATACTTCCATAGCAAAGAACAATTGAAATTTATAACCACAAAGTCAGATGTACAGAATGTTCTAAAGGATATAGTAGAAAGAGATAAAGAAGACCACAAGAGGTGAACATCAGTAGAAAAAAACCACCAAGCAGGACAAGCAATTAAACATAGGAGAAAGACAGAGAACCAACAACAATAAAATAACATGAAAAAGATAAACCAATATATATCTTATAACCATCAATGAGTACAAATGGTCTCCACTCACTAAGAAGAAAGACTGGCAGAATGGATCAAGGAACAAGCTCCAACCATATGCTGCATTCAAGAAACACAGTCAACCTAAGAAGATATTCATAGATGAAAAGTCAAAGGATGGAAAGTTATTTTCCCTGACACAGGAACCCAGATAAATCAAGGGTAGCTATCTTAATTGTAGTTAGCGCAAACTTTAAGTCAAAATTGATTAAGAGAAAAGAAAGGTCATTACATGCTTGTTAAGGGAAATCTCTAATAAGAAGAGGTAACAAACATAAATGTACATGCACCAAATACCAGTCCACCCAACTACATAAGAGAAATATTAACATACATGAATAAATAAGCATGAACACAACGGTATTGAGGAATCTTAATATTCCACTCTCACAAATATATGAGTCAACTAGACAAAAAAGCAAAGAAATATATTTATTTATTTATTTATTTTTAATT